TCCCGGCTGATATGGAGGAATTTCCCTTTCTGTGGGTGTGGTCTGCCTTAGGCTGTTTCTCTGCTTTCTCAGCTCTCGGAGGAGTAATGGACCCGGGGGGTGTTCGGCTGTTTACCTCCCTGACGGGTCTCAAGAGCTATTGCCCAGGGGGTTAGTGCACCTGGTTTTCCCTATAATTTCCAGCCACTGGGCTGTGACCTGTGTTATATCCGTCCAGCTGTTATGTCCCTGTCCCTTTAAGACTTTCAAAAAGCATTCGCTTTTCTTTGTCACAGGGGTATCAGCTTCAGAACCCGCTCAGAGGTCTTGCTGCCCTATTTCCCTAGTTTCCAGCCCTCCATGCATGCACTGTGTCTTCGCTCTGGTGCGGGTGGCTGGGGCTGGGTGTTTAGGAGTCCTGGGCTCCCACTCCCTCCCGCCGGGAGCTGGGGGGAGGTGTGCTCGGGTCCCGCCGGGCCAGGGGTTGTATCTTACCCCTTTCACCAGGCGCTGGGCTCTCGCACGTGTGGATGTAGTCTGGCTGTTGTCCTGTGTCTTCTGGTCTCTCTTTTAGGATTAGTTTTATTTGTTGTATTTCCAAAACTATATATGTTTTTGGGAGATTCCCACTGTCCTACTCATGCCACCATGTTGGCTCCACCCCCAGGAAAATCTTTATTTCTAATTTGGTGTTTAGTAGTGATGTCAGAGCCAGTTATACACCCCTAAGGTCATTAGCTGTGGAACTTCATCCACCCTAATTTACTTAAAGTGCCCTTAATTTTTCATCGAGAGCAAAACAAATATTGATAAGTCTTTTGCAAAATGTATGATAAGAACTATATTGCTAAAAGAACAGAATATTTTATATAACTCAGAGGAAGAGAAACAAGGTGAGAATAGAGGTCCATAAACCAAAGAATATCTCCAGAGGTAAAAAAAGATAAAAATACATCACCCAAGATGAGGAATAAAAGGGACCAGAAGCCCCTGAAACACTACTTTGTGTAATATGTCTACGAGCACAGGCATGAGATTTTATGTATTTGTACTGTTAAAAATGTGCATCATACAAACCTAAAACCTGTAATCAAAACCTAAGAATCAATCTAATGAAAATCATTCACAGCATATGCAAATGTGTTAAAAAAATATTTTAATAAGCATATTCAGAATGGCAGACAGGGAATGGGAAAAGGGAATTATTTTACAGTGCAAAATTACTATGCATAAATTTAAAACATCTAATTCATAATTTCAAATGACTATTTAAATATTACTTTAAATACATTTTAAAGCTCAACAGATCTGCATTGAACTGATCTGTTGCAGATTCTGAACTCTATTTGAAAACACATCATCAAACAATACCATTCCAAATGAAAATGATAGTGCTTGCTGAGGGTGGGTATGGGGTGAGGGATGCTAAGTAACTCTATAAACAAAGATTTCTTTTTCCAATGCAGTTTGTCAGAGTTTGAGAGTTATGAAACATACTAATTTTAAGCAAATTAAATTCATGATATTACTAAAAATTTTTAAGTAGTGCAATGACATTAATTTATAGTGGCTGTTATTATGAAGAAGAAAATACTGTGTAAAATACCTGTATAAACACAAAATACGATTAAATATTTATGAAAAGCTAAGCATTATGTATTATTATGGAATGTCTTTCATTAGACCTACTTTAAAAGGATGAAAATTTCCTAACATATACATATGCTACATTTGCAAACATGCCTGAGACATTAATGTTCCTGTAATATTAGTTTGTAAGAACTTAACTAACCTGCAAACAAAATGTTTTTAAAAAGGTGAAAATGGCATGTCTAATACTGTAAAAACTTAAAAAGTACAGCATCATTATTCATTTGAAACATTTCTATAGACCATCTTTGACAAAGAGCTAGGATATGTTGAATTTGGTTTATAAAATCTGATTTTGAAAATGGATTGTGACCATCTGCTGAAGCTGCCATTCTGGATAGATTATGTTTTAGGTAAAACAAAAGGAAAACAACAAAAAATTCACGCTACTAAACACTTCCACCCAAACTTTGAATTAGTTGGATATGCAACAGTGAATGTACATTACATGAAGTCAAGTGTTGCAAAGTGGCTTTTAACACTGTTTGCGGAAAAAAGTTGTTCATATTGGTGGAAGGAAGCAGTCGGAATGTATATTAATAGTAATACTTCATAGGGGTAAGGCCTAAACCATGATTTCTCAGTGCAAATCTCTACTCAATTGCATTAGACAGTTGAGCCATTAAAAACAAGACCACAGAAGATTGTAGAAAGACATTGGCTCTTGAAGTGATAGCTGAAAATGAATCAGCAGAAGCATTTGGGGCATGCCTGTGTGATAAAAACAAGAAGAGTTAATATATTTTACAAAATTCTGGATATAGGTTGGTCTATCAGCTGTATAAAAGTACATTTTTTAACAAGAATTTTGCACTAAAAATAAAATGGCACTCCTCAAGGCTATGCTAATGGATGATCCTATTTGTAGTAACACAAATAGGAGCAGTGTTTACTCCGTATGTTATTTTCATTTTGGAAGTATACTATCAAATCTGAAAACCTGGATTGTAACTGGAAAAGTCTAAACTTTTCTCCATCAGCCTTTTCCTCACAAAAATCAATATTGTTGCCTGCCAATTCCTTTTGTGTGCCAGCATCTAAAAATCATGACCGTTTCTCATTTATTTAATGTAAAAATGGGAAATTTTATAATGCATATAAAAATAACTGAATGGGATTCTGGTCAGCATGATACATTTAAGCACTTAAGCCAACATTAAACTTTTGTCTCACTTGAAAAATAATTTTGAACATTATAAGCAAATGCAAAGCAAACTGCAATCTAAGTATGCTTAATTTCAGAATTCTCAAACTACCTGTCCTTAAGAAGAAATTTAAAAAAGAATTTTCACAATCCTTTATGAATACTTTTAACCACCTGGTTAAGAAACATGACTTAGTTACTACACAAACACTTAAAAATTCATTAGAAAAACCTTAGCAAAATAAAATGAAAGCTGACAAACTCAGAATTATCAATTCCTCTCATAAAAGTTTACCAACTGTACAAGTTAAGAAAACTATACAAGCTTTTGTATTAAGAAAAGACAGCTCAGTCAAGACATATATACTGTAAAAATCTTTCAAAGGCTACAAAGAATCTGGAAAAATACAGAATGTATTTCTTAAGCCCAGATAAGAAAATGGAAAGACATCATTGATGTCAACAATTTTACATATACAAACCTGACTTGGTTTATTTTTTAACTTCTATATATAAAAAAATCATGCTAGCATTAACTTTCAGGATTCATAAGGGTTTCCTTAATAATAATACCCAATTTGTATGGAGAGAAAAGTATCTTGTTAGAAAATAAAACATTTCAAGGAACTCAGAAAAATTAAGCAGAAATTGGAACTTTGGGTTTTTTCCCTCTACTATCAAACTAAGCAAAAAGTATCTTGTGAAATTTTAAGAATAAATAAGAAGGTACAGATATATCTTCAGTTTATTCAAATTTAATAAACTCTGTTATATCCTTAAAAGGGTCCTTAGAGTTTTAAAGTAAAAAGTCTGGAAAAGGCAGAATTATGAAATCTTATTTACTAAAGTGTAGGACTTAATTCAAATTTTCAGATTTTAACCAACTGCTTCAAGGAAATCAGCTTTTTAAGGTAACCCATCAACCCTGAAAATTTTAGTCACACCAGAATTTACCAAAGAAAGTAAAATAAGTCTAAAATTTAATCATCTGTGTTTTCAAGTTCTTCAAATTTTCCATGTGAGATTGCTTCTTGGAAAAATTCAGAAGAACCAGGACTTTCTTTTCCATTGCTGTTTATCCTTCGCCTTTTGGCAGGTCTCTCATTTTTTTCATCAAAATCATTTTCATTTCTTGCAGTCACATGGGAAAGTTTTGGGTCAGTGGTAAGATTATCTGTTTCATAACCATTAGTATCCATGTCTGCATGAAGCGGTTTCTTATTTCCACCTGTTGGTCCATTAACATGTAACCCTTCAACTTTTACTTCTTCTTTATTTAGTATTTCACCTGGTCCATTAGATGACATGCCTAAGTTGGAAGAAACATAAATGAAACTGCTAGTATTAAAAGGTTAAATTTGTAAGCTATCATAAAAAGAGTTATTGTAAAATAGCTTTTTATCAAAGAAGGGAGGTAGTATCAAATCTGTGTACACATATGGTCTGAATTCCAGCTCTATTTATTAGTAGCAGCTCTGGGACCTTAGGCAAGTTATTCATACTCTCCATACCTCAGTTTAATCACACATGCAGTGAGAAGAATAGCTTTACCATACAGGGTTATTGTGAAGAGTATATAAGTTAACAGATGTAAAAATTTAAGAACATAATTTGGCATATGTGAAAAGCATGAATAAGCACTGAATTAAGCAATCTAAGCTGAATTGAAGCAAAGAAATGCATAAATTATTTGGATTTAGCAAAATAGCTATAACTTTCTAAAACCATATAAATATCCTTAAAACCTTGAGTTTTCTTCTGCCATAAAATCAAAATGACATTACTTTTTTTATTCTCAATGTAAATCTATGGGTATTGTGCTTTAAAGATCATACACTGTACTTAGCTAAGTATATTTAACTAATACATCATAATGTTAAAAAACCTAATGCTTACACTGTCCAAGCATACACCTGAAAAGGCTAGAAATTAAACATAACTTCCTACATGATACATGAAAAAGAGCATAATTAGTCTAATAAAATCAAGTAAAAATAAAAAGGTCATGGTTGAGTTGACTGCAAAGTGGAGTAAAAATTTTGGGGATACTTATGGAAAGTACAGCATGTGCCACTGGACATAAAATTTAGTTATCTGAAAAATATTCAGTATAAAGAATAAGCTTCAAGTATACATTTTGGTCAAAAAAAATACTCTTTTTCCCCCAACTCAAAAGTACACTCAAATCATGAATGCTATGGCTATTATGCATATAATACTGAAAGTAACAATTCTATTGTAGTAAGGCCAAAGAGCTAGGTGCACTGTGATTAGGTCAAAAATAACTATGAGATTTCAAGAAACTAATTAAAGCCCCTTACAAAAGAAAACTGCATTGGAAAGTTTCTTTCCTTGAAAAGCCTGGGAATCCTGATTGAAGGTACCTGATGTGAATGGTTTCCAGGCTCATCTGTAATTTACAGATAAATTATGAATACTCTCTTAGGCTAACGACATGTTCCTAACAAATATTTTTTTAAAAAAGGAGAGAAATTATTTATTTCGTGTAATTAGCAAACAGGAAAAAGAGTAGTACCAAATTGTCTGCTTCCCTAAGCTTCTAGCTTCTATCCCTAGTCCCAAGGTGCGAGTCTCAGCATCTTAACTACTTCAGAATGGATGTGGCTGGCATTAGACATTCTGTCAATAAGCCTTTCTGTACCAGGCAATGGCTGCTGCATCCTAAAATTTGGTTTTGCTTGTTCTTAGAAGGGAAGTAATGAGTGAAGAGAAAGGGATCATCAAATCAACAAAGCATATTCACTACAGCAGGGCTAGTGTGAGACCAAAGGTCAGAAGAAGGGTCAAATTTTTCAGTGCCCCTCTGCTAGCTCCTTTCTGGGGTCAGTCAGCTCTCCACAAAAGCTGTCACATCAGAATGCAGGTGGGCAGAACTACGTCTAATTCAAGTTTCCTTATAAAAAGGGGTGGAGGACTTATTACTTTCTGCTTGGCAACTATCTTACTTGGGAAGACTATTTTCCTTGAAGTAGAAATCAGAATTCTCTGACTAGGTCTTAATGATCAGCACAGTGATCCACTGTGTATTTTAAACAAGAACATTATCTAAACCTCAGACTTAATGGTAATACGTTTTGCTTCTCTTTCATGGATAAAAACAGGAATTTTTTTGTAGAATATTAATGCACAGGCTAACACCTGCTTTATCTTTTCTCATCCTTCAAGGCTGTTACGGTATCAAAGAGAAAAATATTCCAAACAGTGCCCTTGTTTTCCCCCATATGCTTAAAGTACTTTTCCAATAAAATGTTGTAAGCTTGCTTGTTATAAGCATTTCATGAATACTGTGTATGTCTGATGTGATACGGCTAGTTACAGTTTTAAGAATTACCAAGAACATTTACATTCAGGTAAGTGAGCATTCCAACCAGTTAAGAAAATAGAGGCTATTTTAAAATAATAGATTTCTTAAAAGAAACTTAATTTCTTTTAATAGTAAACTTTATTAAACTCACTTTTTAGTGATGTCAATGGGCATTCGTTCCAATTAATTTGTATTGTGTATCTTTGTAAGTATGTATGTTGGTATTACGTGTTTTATCTGATATTTATAATTACTGTAACTTACTCTTTGGAAGTTTAATAGAAACCAAAACTGAATTTCCAAGGCTATTGAAAGAAAAGTACCCCTTCATTATGAAGTAATAGAAGTGTTTCTTCTCTTGGTTGCTTACCATTTTGATTACTACTGCTTAGAGTGCCATCTTCTTTCTCAGACTGGCTGTTACTACTGTTTGAAGCAGTGGGGGGTGGTGACGGTGCTCGACTAGAAGCAGCACTTTCACTTTCATCTAGGAGACGATCCATGTAATCCCTTAAAATTAAGTAATAAAATAATTATTTTCTATTAAAAACAGCTGAAAATAAAACTGAGATTAAATTTAGGTTTTATTTACAAATATACCCTGATTTTCACTTACATTCATTCCAGTGCCTCATCTATCACATGAGGATCTGAACATTTAAAAATAATAGAAAGCTCCTTTTGGTTACATGTTTGTAAGAAAAATGCATTATGGGCTTTAAGCAAACTCAAGAGACCTACAGGAAGTATTAAAACTTTTAAAATTGTAGTCAGGTGCTCAGACTGCCCAGGTAAAATTAGAATCTGTAAGTGAAGAGACAGGAATGATGTCTATCAGGAATACAAAAGAATTTCTGACTAGACAAAGATTGGCATTTTAAAGCTCCATTTGAAAGACAAATTAGGACCTAACAATGAATCACACCTCCCTGAACCTTCCTGGATACTTTCTGTATTACCTTTCTGCTAGATCTGAGCAAACTCACTAAATTACTGAGCTTACTCCTGACTTTATCTGCCAGTGTATCATTAGAGATGAGCTCACTTCTTACCTAAGTCATTCATGAAAATATGGCTTGGGATGACAGTTGTGGTAAGTGACACTGGGCTGGGGTTAGAACATCTGGACTAAATACTTATCTTTGAGGTTTAGTGTCTCTATCTATAAAGTGCATGCAATAAATTATACATGCATGACCTATGTACCCACAGAAGATTACTGTATAACATATGTATAGGAAAGTGTTTTATGAACTATAAAATGCTATTAGGTCACTGAAATAAAGATCAGCCAACTATGGCCTGTGTGCTGGCCCCGTTTTTGTGAAGAATACTTTACTGGAACACAACCACACTCAATTCATTTACATAGTTTCTATGACTGCTTTCGTGTTACACAGCAGAGCCAAGCACTTCCAAGAGAATTTAAGGCCTTGCAAAAGCATCTTAAAATATTTACTCTACAGCTCTTTACAAGAGAAGTCTGCCAACAACTGCACTGGAATGATTCCCTGAAGGAAGGGTTTTTAGTTTGTTTTGTTTACCACTGCATCACAGTGCCTAAATTGTGCATAGCACAAGAGCAGAAACTCAATAAAAACTTTAATACATTATTTATTTAAAAATTCTGTCAGCATAATAGAAATATTAAGACAAACCTTTTAGAATTTTGGAGCATGGTAAATAAGAATGTGGATAAGAAGGAAGCATTGTTAATGCTTACCCTTAGGACTTTACTGAAAATCTGTGGTAATGATCTCCAACAGACTATTAACTTTAGTTGTAATCTCAAACAAAATCATCACACCGTTCCCTGGGTTTTAGGGATGTAAATAAATACAGGGACCTATATTTATATGGTTCTTGACCGCTATGAACTTCCAACAGTCTGAGACACAAAACTAACACATATCAAAGAAGCATTATGTGACCACAGCATTTAACATTCTAGGCCTTATTCTCATCTGTAAATGGGGATTTGATGGTCTTTTAATTGATCTCCTCAGCTTTGTCATTCATCAGAATTAGAGAACAATCATGTATCAAATTTGACACATGTAGAAATGAGGATGAATGGCAAAGGGACTTCAGAAACCAAGGCTAACAGGAACAGATGATGCATGAAGAGGAGATGGAAATAAATTTGGAATGGTGGGAATGGATAATGGAGGATGTTAATAGCCAAGGAAAGGAAGCTAGTTGACGAGGTATCAAAAATTTTTCAAATTTATGAATATAGCAATGCTCTTGTGAAAGAATTATTATTGTTTCTTAAAGATTAATGGCATCCAGAACGCTGAAGGAAGGAGAAGAGTCAGACTATCCAGGAAGTTGGAGCACCATTCAGATAACGAGTAATGCTGAGCTAATTTTTACTTCAAAAAAATAAAATTATTTGCAAGGCTGGTAAAGCGAGATCTCCAATTTGCATGTGGTTATCAATTCTTCTAGGCAGTGAAGAGAGATATTTGCAGTAGGATCTTTCAAAGGCTTGTTTATAGGCAGGAAAGTGGCAAATGTGTGCTTCATTCTGGTGAACAAATGAAAAGTAACCATGTAACAAAAAACTGAAAAAATCACTGAGGATAATGGATTTTGACGATGGATTCTGAGTCAAAAAGAAAATGAGAAGATTCATTCAAATTTTTGTCTAAATGCATTAACTTAATGTTCTGTGCAATCACTGAAACTGCAACTGTTAACAGAAAGAGAAGTCCTGGAAGCAAGCTAGACAAATATTTCTATGCTTACAGAAAACCACAATTTCTCTCCACCTGGAAAATAATGTATAGTCTTGTCATGGCCTCTTACAGAAGATGTAACACAGCCAAAAGGAATGAGCATGACAAAAAAGTTGTAGTTCTTTCAGTTAAAAAAAAACTATTTAAAATCAGAGGACACATAACTGAAGCCTACAAAACCATAGCATTCTTGCGTAGGGGGAAAAACACATTTGTTCACTTCATACCATTACACAATGGGACCATTATTAATTAAAGCCTGAAAAAGAGAAGATAGAGGATAACTTAACTGTGGCTACTTCACCTACAGAATACTTCATCTTAAGAGGAATCAAGGTTACAGATGTATCTTCAAAAAGTTTTTAGAGGCTACAGAGGGATTATCAGAGACTAAAATGTTTGGTGGCACATCCCTACCTAACCTGTTGCGCTTGACATCAGAGGACCAACTAAGCCAGCCCACAACACTTCCCTTGGTGATGCTTTCTTAAAGAGAAACCTGGATGAACTAGGGGTCTGACCCAGCATGGCAATTCTTATGTTCTTATTGTTGATGACGACAGATTGCCTGTACTTCATGTGTGAACATTAATTCTGAAATGGGTGAAAAAAATGAAAGATGTTACTATTGCTTTTCCCTATAGAATAGCTAGAAAACTGTGACTACTTTAAGACACTCTGAAGACTGTTAGATACAGCTAGTTCTACATTATGTCTCAGCATTACTAATAAATAAAATATAAATTCACAGCTATAAATTTAAGCAATTAGATAAAATCTGGAATACTGTTATAATGAAATAACTCTCTAGCCATCCTGGGCTTTGAACAATGGAGGATGAGGCACAGAGTCCAGTGTTCTGTGGTTTTGATTCCCTTTTAGATAATTTTACTTTGGATTTTAGAGTGTTTGATCTTCCAGGGAAGTGACCAGCAGAGACATCTGAAAATGAACACGAATAAACAGTCCAGCCTAAGAGTTTGAAAAATACAATCAAATATGCATATAAGCACATCTTTCAAAGGAAGTTACTTGGCCAGCCATAAGAATTTTACTGTGTCTACTGACCAAATGAACTCACAACTTGGCATTATTTTTATTCTGTAAACATTAGGGAATAATCAAGTACAGTATATTAAAGGTAATTTCACCATAACAATTCACAAGCATTTTAGAGCAATTCATATTAGATGAAGGGTTCTATACTCTATGTACTTAAGTAACACATTACTAATGTCAGTGATGACCACTTCATTCCAAAGCTAGAGTGAATGAGAACTTGGTGCATGAGGACTGGATCAGACATGCAAAGAAGGCAGCATAAAGAATGGCTATAATAACAACCCATAATACCTGTATCACTGGGAGTAAGCTAAAGTTGTACTACTAATTATTAAACATGATTTCTGTTAGAAGATTAGGAAATCTAGGAAAAGGGAAGATGCCATACACATGTTCCTTCTTCTATAAAAAACTGTTAACAAAAAAGAAAATGCAACTTTACCTCCCTAAGTCTTTTTTTCCCTTTTATATCAACCAGACCCAAATCTTACTGTGGTTCATGAGCTCAAAAGTAGATTGGAGAAGGAAACATATTAAATTCCCTTCCTCTTTAAAGGGTCTCTATTAGGCATATGGCCCAATAGTTTTAGAGAAGTTAGTCCCTCTTTCCTATTTTCACTGTTGTGAAGTGTTGATTAAAACTGTATATGCTTATACTGAATGAACAGAACTTAACAAAAATGTACTTTCAGAGATGTTCTGATCCATTTCCTCTCAGGAATACTACTGGAAATATACACTCTTTCCATTTGCTCTGGTGTATTTGTTGCCTCAAATAACATGAACTGTAGTTTACAATATTTTATAAGACACTGAAAGTCTAAATGCCCTATGAAGATATGTTTATGGATAAATTTAAACTAATATACTCTTATCTTATTAAAAGATTCTAAAACTTACAATTTTCTCAACACAAATTTAGAGAAGCTTAGTCAGAATGTATGACTCAAAAGAAAAAAAACTCACGTTACACCAGGATGAAGATTGTATTTCTTTTTCCCAAATCGTGTTTGCTGAGCAAAGAAATCGTAACGTTCAGATTTTTTCCACATGTAATAGAATGCTACACATTCACCAACTGATCTTGTTCGAACCTATAAGAAACAAATACTTGTTTTTAAGAATTATCTCCTCCTTTTAAAGGAGTTATTTCATGAAAAACATCTGAGTTTAAAAACAAATTTAGCTGGTCCTTAAGTAATACATAATACTAGGTATAAAATAACACTGCAGCAGATGTGTTAAAACTATTCTTTCCAAATTCTAAGAGAATTAACATACTGTAAACAGGTATTCAGATATTCAGCACTGTGCTTTTAAAAAGGCCTAATTTAGCATAAAAATATTTCCTCTATTGAAAATGTCTGGAAGTGACATATGACTTAAAATTGTTATAAACAGTTTGCAGATACTTTTACTCACAGAGCACCCAGGGAGCCTATCTTTATTCCCATTTAAAATATTGTCTTACTAGTCCCAACAGTGATGCACTCAGTTATTTTAGTATCTAGAAAGGTGGAGAGTGTTCCACGGAGAGTTAAAAGCTACTATAATAATGCTAATGATTTGTTTCAGTGGTTTGCCGTGCTATACCTATTTGTGCAGCTGAATGGCTCCCCTTACACAATGTTCAACACCTACAGGATTGGCAAATTGTTGACAAAAACCCCCTTTTCAATACTTGGCTTGGAGACCTAGTAGAGTTGATATATCGAATTTAAATATTGGGAATGTAAAAGAAGAAAGATATCTGCATTGAGTGTTTGGGATGCAAGACTGCTATAACCCATAAATTTCTGATCTTCAATGAGGTATCCTGTGGGACTGAGTGCATCTAAGGTCAATTTGATGACATCCTTATTTTGTTAGCTGACATACATTTTTTTCTCCACCTCTATTGACTGCATTTACAATTTCTGGCCCATATTGCTAAGACTAAAAGCTATCAGGGCTTAAAAAAAATCATATTCTCAAGCTTGTTTCTGCTTCTTTATTTCTAAATAGATACAACAAAGTCAATTGTACTTTAGTAAAGGCAAAACCTGTAATTTTCGGGCATGCAAAATTAACTATTATAAAAATCCTCAATAAAATAAGCCTGCATAATAGAACTTATGATTAAGATTCAAATTTCAGTTTCAGGCGTACAAACAGTCTCAATGGTTTTACTGAACCACTCTTCTCTGTCTTAAAGAATTACTGTCCTTTTGTTCACTGGAACAACTAGTATAAGAAGTACAAGTTAGGTGACTTCTATAACACTGAAATATCACCATCACAAACATTTATAAAGAAATCAAGGTCTTATTTTTATTATTAAGACTTTCAGCTAGTCATTTCAAGTCATCCAGTAAGTTCTCCTTCCATAAAACCAGGGATTTCTGGGAGGCTGCTGCTAGTTGTATTAGTTCCTAATTTCAGGGGCTAGTAATCTAGCATGGTTTGATCGTCCAGTGTTCAATTCAAGCAGGACCCCAGAAATCTCTTATCCAAATTGCTAACTCTTTCAACATGAAACAGTGTATTTTTTTTTTTTACAGTCAGAAACATATGTGGCAAGTCATTAGCATAACATACTCCTTTCATTAAGTATTCACTATACTGAAGGTTACCAGATGATTTGGACACAGCATTAAAGGGTAAAGACACATTTCTGACACCAATGTTGAGATTCACATTCACTCTGGTACTAATAAAGTTATGTCTGATGTCAAATATCAAAATGCAACAAGATAATCAAAGAATAAACTAATTAATACAACAAAATTAGGAAAAATGAACTCACTGGATCTGTAAGCAATTATTTTGTTTACAAAACAAAACAGATACTGTTAATATGTGTTGTAACAAATCAAGTGGACACCACCCAACCACATCCAAAGGTATAAAAAAAATGGAGAATGTGGTGGACAGACTATTTGAGCCTCAAGTTAGTCCTGGATACATCTTAGATAAGCTATTACACAGAACAGAAGCTATCTTTAAGGAAACACGTAAAGCCAAGCTATTTGTAATTTTATATTCACCAAAGTTGTGGTATTTATAAGCCTAGAAATCACTTCTCTACATTTAAACCCCGAGATTTTAATTTTGCCTGTCCTAATTTCTCACAGGAACATGTTTTTCTGTTCTATGTAATTGTGTAGTTACTATTAAAAATCTTACCTGACTTCTGTTTTAAGAGAATAAAAACCTAAAAATAAATCTGCACGCAATTATGAATGTCTTTTGGGTATGCACTGACACTGTAGGATTCTTATTACCAAACAGAAGTATAAATGATCATGTCAAATAAAACTGCCAAATTATAAAATTATGCTAATATACAATAAACTGACTTACTGAAATATTCTGAAAAAATTAAATATTAATTAAAACCAAATTAAATATTAAGTATATGATTTTAGACTACTTAGGCAAATGTAAACAGCATTACATAAAAAGTCATGTTAAAAATGATTTAAAGTTTAAGAAAATTTTTAACGACCCTCCTTAAAAAAATCTGTCACAACTTTGTAGAAAATAGCTTTAATATTATATTATACACACATATTCCACCCAGAACTTGATGAACATACCTGGAAATGAGTCCAGTTCTTAAAGGCTTCCAATATCATGCACTGTAAACAGTCTCTTGGCAAATATATGCCAGGAAGTCTAAGATGCCTACAACATTAATTCCGTAATGACCATAAATTAAAATATTCATTATTTAACCTTTATCATTAGAAAACAATAAAGATAAAAGATCTGGGTTGTTAACTAAATTTCTTTTTGTAGAAGAATATGTATCTTTACTTACTTTATTAGCCTGAATCAAATGAAAATCCTTTCCATAGGCCTTCAGCCCTTGTTCAAAATTTCTACACTCTTCCTCTGTCCAAACAGATAATTCCTCTGACAAAATGGGGGGAAAAACTGTTAAGCAATATTCCCCCAAATGTTACATATAACAAATCTACATATACAAATATAACTTTCTGTTAACAAGGAGAGAAGTGTTTTACTTCTGAGTTCTATTACTGATGGCTGCAAAAGAAAAACTCATTTAATAAAATTTTGTATGATTTGGTCCCTAACTCAAGTTGGGCCTTTACTCCTATTCTTTATGATCCAACTATACTAGCCACCTTTCAATTCCTGAAATTTGCTATGTTCTTTCTTTAGACTTTGTGCATGCTGTTCCCTTTGACTAGAATTACTTCCTCACTCCTACGTCATCCACTTTTTCACCTAGCTAATTCATTTACATCCAAACAGAAATGTCACCTTGTTCTAGAAGCTTTCCTTAATAGCCTCAACTTGTCCCCCAACTAGGTTAAGTTGCACTGGATTAAGTTTGAACTGTACCTTCTATTCTTCTTGGAAATACTCGTAATTACTTTTCAGCTTTTCTACCTATGCTCAAACACCACGAGGGTGGGGACTTTGTTTAGTTTTGTCTTCAGAACTTGGTAGGCCCTTCAATTTTTGTAGGATGAAGGAACAAATATCTTTCCATTAGCTACATAATAACATATAAATAGCACTCTTAGTGAAGCAGGGCAGGAGCCAGTTTAGTGTACAAAACCCCAAAACCTGGGTTTTAGTTATGGCTTCATTATTTTTTTATTAAGGTATTGATATGCAGTCTTATGAAGGTTTCACATGAGCAACATTGAGGTTACTACATTCCCCCTATTACCAAATCCACATAACTCCATTACAGTCACTGTCCATCAGCATAGTAAGATACTACAGTCACTACTTGTCTTCTCTGTGCTATACCGTATGGCTTCATTATTTAATTGTTTGTCTCAGCTAGGTTACTTCAGTTCAGAGACCTCAATCTTCATCAACTTTAAAGTGTACATAACAGCTGTCACACTACTTAGCTTATAGTGCTATTATCAAGATCAAGTGAGAAAATATTTATAAAAATGCCTTGAAATTGAAAGGCATTATATATTTTTACTTAAACATTTTAATTTTATTCTCCCATAAAGGAAATGACAGCCTCAATGCCATTTTTCATAATGCCTTATATGATACTTGTGTTATACACAACTTACTTAAGTTATTTGTTACCTGGAAAATATTTACTGAATTAAGATCAGTATTACTGAACTTAGAATATATACCTACTGAAGAGCTTAAGTTTTCAATATTTGCTATATCATGAAAAAAAAGGAAATACTTATGCTTACCTCTAGCTGCTTTTACATTAAATCTTAATCTTCTCAATGCTTCTTCTGTGTCAAAATTGCATTTAACTAATTCATATAATGCCTAAAAAAAAAGGCTTTGTTGTGTGACCCAGACTATGAATAGCTCAAATACAATTTCTTAACAGAGTAAAGGCTTTTACAGAATCCAACGTTTGTTTTCATCATTTCTGGAGGACAAATAATTCTAGTGAATGTAACATACAGACACTAAGGAAAAACATAAATACAATACTGATAATTTACTGTCTCTAAATATGTATAAAATAGGATAAGTAAATACTCTAACTTGGTGGCCATAGCACCCCAGGAATTTAGAAATAAAAAAGAAACAATTCTGTAAAAACCACAAATCCTTTTTTAGCTTTTGGGGTTCTTATTCTGAGAAAGGAACTTCAAAAAGGCTAAAGCCTAGAGTAATATATACAGACAAAATGAAATAACAAGATTTTTGTTTATTTGAGCTAAAATCATACCAATGAAGTGAGTATGTTAAAACTAGGTTTCTTAGGCTTACAACCTCAGATTCTCTGTCAATGACATTGTAAGTTTCTGGTCATAGAAACTCTGAATGTGGCAGCATTTACATTCATAAATGTATACGGTTAATTTATTCTGGGAAAATTTTAACAGTTATTTCTTATTCATGTACCTGTTCATTGTCTTTTATGTGAGATCCTTCAGGAATTGCTTCTACACCTTTCTCATCACCTGTTCTTCTAGATGCATCCTTAAGAAATACAATCACTTTGTCTTCTGGTAAGTACTCAGGGTCCCACAGGAGCTGATCATCATTTTCATAAACTAAATTAGGAAAACATAATGTTAAGAAAAATATCAAATATTAACATGTTAGAGTTTATGTTAAAAAAACAACACTGTACAAATAACTCACACTTAGAGCCAAAATGCTGAGAACCTAAAGGTAAAGTGTAAGTCCAACTACTTGCCTGACTGGTCTTGGGCCTAAGTGATCTAAGCAATCTAAACAGAGAGATACCATTTTATGCCCCTTTCAGATCTGGTCTGACTGAAACTGAGGTTACCAAATTCCAAGCTCTCTTGGTTTGAATAACAATCCACACTACTTACTACTACCTATATGACCTCAGGCAACTCACTTCCCTTCTCCCTGCCTCTTCTGTGAAATGGGATAGCAACCTTAACACATAGGGTTGTAAAGATTTAAAGCATTTTAAAATAGTTCTGGTACTTATTAAGGTTCAGTGGATGCCACAGCTATAATTACTATTTTTGAAAAGGATGTCTAAAAGAATGCTCACCAAATATTAATACTATTTCTTTCTTGGTGGTAGAATTTGGGGCAATTTTTTTTCTATTTTTCTGAGGCTTGAAAATACAGTAAGCATGTATCATCTTTGGACAAACAAGTCATTACTTTTAAAAAAAAAGCTTTTAGTTATCATCAGATTTTCCACTGTAGTGTCTACGTTCCTTGTGTTATGAAAAAGATTAAAGTCTAATCTCATAAAAATTTAGAAAGTGAAAGAGAAGGGAAGAGAACTGCAAGATGAGAGCTTTGTGGAATTCTAAATGACAGGAGATGAAAACAGAGAAAAACTAAGAAGGAAGAGTAACAAGATAGAAGAAATATTCCAAGTGTGGCACCAGAGCTCCTATGGGAAGAAACTGTTTCAAGGACAGATGGGTTAAATGCTGTTAAAACCACACCAGGATGAAAACTGAAAAAGGTGCTCCAGATTATCTACTAAGAATGGGAATGTTTCAAGCACTTTCTGTGCAGAGTTGGAAGCTGAAGCCATACTAGTAAGGACTGAAGAGTAAATGGAAGGTGAAGAAATATGCTAGAAAACTCTTGAAAAGTTCAGTTGTAAGGGAAGAGACAGTTCATTGGTTTTTAAAGATAGGAGACAACCATTTAAATGCCAATATGAAAGAGCCACCTGGAGAAAGACTTTGAATTTAAGAGACAAAGGAGAACATACTGTTGAAGTTCCTTGTGTTATGAAAACGGAATCAACAGCTAATTAATAAGCATCTTTATATGTACCAGGCACTATGTTAAGTGAGTTCATATAAATTACCTTGTACCCTGCACTTTAAAATATTCTACCCTTTTCCCCCCCAAAAAAACTCTTTTGTAAAGCACAAGCACAATTTCTAGGAATTTTTCCTTAGTAAACCTCATTTCTTTTCTAAACTGCTGGTATAATTCTAGTGAAACTCTAAATTATAAATACAATACAACTCCACTGATAAGGTGATTTGGATACACTGCTATTGGTTTCTGTTCTCTGTTCAGACTCTGTTCCCTGAAGAGAGCAAATTATAGCCTTATATTTTTGCAGTGATGTGTGTGGGATAGACAAGGCTTACAAGGAAGCTGTGACTCAGGAAGGGGAAGATAGAGGGTAGGTCCCTGAGTCCCCAGTGTTCTTCTAGTTAAGACACCCTCATATTGTGCCTATGAAACAAGCACAAACTACCTGGGACAACACTTCTGGAATCAGTCTGGAAGTGCTTGCCAGCCACAGGATAGAGAGACATCCTTATTTAAACTGAGTACACAAATGTCAACAGATGGCAACAAATGACAAACCAGACCCCTAGAATTGTGATTAAATAGCCAGATTAAGCTAGCCCTGAGAATATAATATACTAAAAAATGATCATGCAGTGAGAACAGTGAACATTTCTACAGAAAATAAACCACACTGCCTTTATTGCTGCCAGAAACAGAATAAATTACTGCCAGTTTACACTCTCTATATGAAATTTTGACTATGTCTTGACTATCATCTAAGTAAAACAGGCATAGAAGATATATTTATAAGGCACAGTTGATAATTTATTAAATGTATCCTGTATTACAACTAAATGCCAAGAGATCAGAAATCAGAACTCCACTACTTTAAAAACACACTGAAATATGGAGTAGAAATCATGTCTATAAATATGACTTGAAAGGAAAAAAACTGTATTTGCAATAGAAAGAGCATAATAATTATACAAAGTGACACAAACATGCTGGATTTTAAAAGATCACAATCATTGAAATGTAACAGCATCTTTTGAATCTATTTCATTCCAAATGAATTACCAAGCCTAAACTTTTAAAAACCAACCACAAATATATCCACCTTATATTACTGGAAGTATAATTTACATATTACTATAAATAAGAGAGTGAATCCAGGAGGCAAGAACTCACCTAGTGTAACACAGGTTGCTGGAGGAGTACTTCATAATATGGTGTTTTAGGTAATCAATTAAGCTTGTCAGGTAAGCAATGAGTTGTCAAAATAATTTTACAAAGTGCATCATATGTGTGTGTAGTGGTGAAAAACTAATAGGGTAAACTGAGAAATCACCACCACAAAACTATAAACAAACTTCTGCAATCTGGAAAATTAATTCCCAGTGAATAAATGTTCATTTTTAACTTGCAGTTTTAATAAAAAACAAAATTGTTATTTCATTTTTAATGCCTAAATTCTACCTAATCAATATATTATGAAGATGAAAACAGATATATAATCATTACAGAAAGATACATCATTACATTATGGTGTAATAAATATGTTTACAACAGAAATTTCCAATCTTAAAGGGCACACTGTGATTAATAATATAATGACATGCATTTTAAGTTGTCTAGCTGAGTGTTTTCTACGTACAGGTTAAATGAACTGCTGTTTTCAACATCACTGTTAACTAAGGATAATGCATGTACTCATTTTTCAGTAACTAAAAAATCAATTTGTCAAATGTTCATTATAAATAAGAATTTACATGGTCCTTTGTAGTCACTGCTTCTAATTCTTAACCATAATTTACCTACTCTAATACTAAGTCAGGTAAGCATGGAAATTTGACTGGAAATATCTCACTTCTCTCTCTTGACATTTTTTTCTTTCTTAAGTAGCCCATCTACTTCTTAATCTAGTCCAAGGTTCTCAATCTCAGCAATACTGACACTTCTGGCCAGGTAATTCTTAGTGTGGCTAGTGATGGAAGTGTGCAGTCAGAGGACTTCAGCCTATGCACTATATGCTTACTGGCATTTGAATTAGTCTCATCACAAAGCTGCCGTGTTTGCCCAGTTTAGTGCAACGGAGAAACAATAAAACACACACATTTGATAAAACATGCTTTTCATGTGTCCAGCACTCTTTTGGGAATTAAACCCTTTCCATAAGGACTGAGTGGGGCTGACACCACTCCCTGGAGCTGCAAGAACAGATATATGAGCCAGGGCAAGCTAGAGTACTCACTCGTCTCTCCAGTCATCGTTATTACTACTGGCTGAGTCAATAGAAGCTCTGTAGGACTTTTGCTGGAGCAAAGGGGGGGTGAGCAAGTTCTCATTTTTACTGCTTCTCTAGCTATAAGGGCAGTATGAAGTGTAAGCCATGAGCTCCCAGTAGCCATCTTAGCTTGTCTGACAATAAAGGAAAAGAGGGAGAGGGGAAGGACACCTGATATTGTAAGAATCCTTGAATCCAGTTATATTTGAAGCCAGACCAGCCAGAACTTTCCAGAAGAGCAATCAGGAAAATTCTTTTTTGCTGAAGCTAATAACCAAAACGGATTTTTATCACTTGCAAGCAAAAGTATAAATGGATGCTTTCTGAATATATGAATAATAAAAACCTAAATATAATAGTAAGATTAGTCATCTATTGATTAAGCCACATATTGAGCAGTTATTAAGTGCCACACCATGCTGGTAAGTGCTCACATGTAAATCCTACACTAGGCTCTATAAATGCTCTATTATTGCTGTTTTATAGATGAGGAGAAAAAGAAGTAACATGTCCAATGCCAAAAAATACTGATCCAAGTTTATTGACTCCTCATCAGTATTGTTAACACCATTCTGCACTCTCCTAATAACTCAGCCACCAAATGTTTACTAAGTGCCTATGTGACAAGGATCATCCTAGGTATTCAGGATACAAAAATGAATAAACAAGTGATGTAGCACACTGTGTTGAGTATAAATGATAAATGCACATATTTAAGAAACTGTTAACGTGTAGTTGAGATTTTTGTAATCAAAATAGTTGCAGTTCCATCTGAGGAATATAACAAATCTTGTTTATATAATTTAATTTGGAGTGATAATCAATGAGAAATATTAATCTGCATAGTGCCTAGTACCAAGGAAATCAGATTCAAGAGAGAAAATTTACCAATGGTTCTCTAGGGTACTCAGTAATAGGGTTTCCTTGTATCAATAAAAAATTCTTATCCATCTGTTAAATAATTTCTACAGTGAAGATATCAGATGTAGTTTTGTGACACTTTAATCAAAATCACTCAAACCTTTTGAATGTGTGCTCACCAAACTGATGAAAAATAGCCTGTGAAATTCTGTCTACAAGGACTGTACTGACCTGCACTACCCCTTTGACCGTTTTATGTCTAAGAGTATGGTTTATATAATAGTATCTCATGAATCTGGTTTGTGTGCAAAGTACCCTAAGTGGAGACGAATTCTGGGTTTCATAACAGAAGTTAGAATTCCTAAAACTACAAAGCTGAGCAAAGAGTCTGTAACAGGACAAAACACTTCCAAAGCAGAATACCACCTTGTCACATCTAATCTTCACACAATCTAACATGTTTATATTCTCAAAGGTAGAAAGCCATAGTTCAGTTTTTAAAAACTGTGTAACTGCTTTCTAAAATTTTATCAAAACTGGCATACTAAACCATAATTTACAACACTGAAACCTGCAGATTGTGGTGCTCGCTCCAGTGGCACAAAAACTAACACTGGAACTACACAGAGACGACTAGCATGGTCCCTACGCAAGGAGGACATGCAGATTTGTGTAGTGTTCCATAGTAAAAAAAAACAAAAAACAAAAAACAAAACACTGTAGATTGTGATCATTTATTCATTGTGATATCTGGTAATATAAATATGTTAAAATAAAAAACATATTGAGATAATTAAAACCATTTTTAGCCATAATATTAACTTGTCACAAACAAAATATGTTTTCCTACTCACCTACAAAATAATGAAATTTTCAAAGATAGGTACTGCTATCTTTCATAGTCAAAATTTAAAAGAAGTTTAATAAAATGGAACAAATGCCTAACTTTTAGTTCCTTATTAATATGGAAAGAACCATTATATAACAGAAGTAAAGCATGACATTTAAAATTCAACTACAAAAATAAATAAAACCAAAGAATCATCTATTTTTGCACACAGTTACAATGTACTCACAAAACATAAGCACAGAAATACAATATATAGCAAGGTCACTCCATACTGATAACTTTTGTTGCAGGAATTAACCTGAAAATGGCATGAGCTGTTACTGGTATGCTGAAATATTTTTGTTGTCACTAGAATTCACTGGCCTATTGTGTTTCCTTAACTGCCTTATCTGCTGCTTGCCCCTGAAACCAGGTGCATATTTAGAATATAAACTTTTTGGAAAGAATGCTAAAAAGTAAACAACAAAGGATTCCTACAGCTCCCATGTGAAATGTAGAAAAGACAAGTGAAATAAAAGAAATGAAGATTTCTAGCATTGAGTTATGTCACTGCACATGAACTCATTACACACACACATACACACACACACACTCACTCTTTCTGGAACTCATCCAAAGTAAATCTGAAACAGACCTTAAAAAAGTCTCTCAAGTATTTTATGTTATTGGAAGTTTAAGTATTTACGACTTACCTGAAGGCTTTGAGATAAAATGAAAAAAGTCATGTAAAACTTAAATATATAAGTTGTTTTCCCAAATTATTTTAAATACACAAATGTCAAAGTATTCTGTTCAGTGATACTAAGTTTCAGAAGCAAATAAGCTTTTTCTATCAGTTTACTCAAAAAATTTTTAAAACCTGTCCAACAGCTCCCACTAACATAAAATAAACCTTTTAAAACCTAAATTATACAACTTATGAAAGCCTATTTAAAAAAGAAAAAAATTAAAGTTGGGGTATTTTAAGACATTTAGTACTTTTTTTTCTTCTTTTTATTAGCTTCCATGGACCAAACTTGAAAAACAGAAAATGTATCTCTTCTTACAGAAATAATGCAGTCTACTTTCATCCATCAATGGGTTAACATAAACTGCCATGTTCTTATCCCATTATAAAATAACAGTTCATCATTTCAAAAACATGAATTTCAGTTATGTAATTTTACTAATGACCCACCTTTTTCATTTTCTTTGTATCTACAAATGCCAACTGGAATCTCTGCTTGAAACATGGAGCCCACCATAATTTCCTATTTTAAAAATAATGTAAGACATTAGTAAGGTCTAGTAACAGCTTTTATAATCATTTTCAAGCTTTAACACCTTCTTGGGTAAATTGTTTCTGGTTTCTGTCAAAAAATACAGATACTACCAATTACCTATTCAAAGGAGTATTGTGAGGATGAATGAGTTAATAATAGAGAAGATCTTGAATATGACTGGCTGAAAATATTAGTAGTAATAATGAGGTGAAATACAATATAGACAACAGATACAAATTTACTTCAAAATACGGAGAAAAAGAAATAAGAATGAATTCTTGTAATTCAGTTAATAAGATAATTTCAAACACTCTGAAAAACAGAAGTCAAACTCAGCTATTTTCAGAGTATCTACACTCGAAATTATGGTTCCTCAATCAGTATCATCGGCATCACCTGGGAACTGTTAGAAGCGCAGACACTCAGGCCTATTCCAGACCTACCCAACCAGAACTCCAGACATGGGACTCAGCAATTAGTGCTTAAACAAGCAGGGCAGGTGATTCTGACACATGAGCAAGTATGAGAACTAGAGTTTATATAAGTAAAGGAAGTAACAAAATGGCTTTGTACAGAGTTCATAGAGACCAAACTCCACTCCAAATGGATTAGCAGGTTAGTGCCTGACTTTCAAACAATACAAAATCAAACATAATCTCCCAAAACACAATTAAAGTTTATTTTAGGAAATCTGGTAATCAAAATCTGTATTATCAAATCACCACATTAAAGTAAACTGGCTATTCAAAAAGACAAGGAGAGATCACCACTGATGAGATTTTAAACACATGAGGACCAAGAGTTCATGGACCTTGGTGGCTAAATATTAAGAATTAATTTGCTGCATTATGAGAATAAGACCTAGGTCGGAAAGATACAAAATCATGGTCTAATAAGTTTAAGCTCTTAGAATTTGAAAAGTTCCTCTCTCTCCTGTTATGGTTAATCCACTGATGTTAGAATCTCATTTGATCGAACATAACTTCAAATACATGCTCTATGTAATTAATTTATTACTGCACCTATATAGGAAAATTATTTTAAAAGAGTATCACATACACATTTCCTCTACTCTTCTATAGGAATTTTCTTTATGTCTTTCATTATAAAAAAGAGCATTATATTGTCCATTGTGTCTCTTTCAACTTCATTCATTTATGCCGACCAGAGCATAGAATCAAGCCGTCAACCTGGCTGTGAAGATTCTAAATTTCCAAAGCAGATCCATTCCAGACCAATTAAATCAGAATTTCAGAATGAAGGCCCTGGTAGTCAGTATTTAAAAGTTCTCCAAGTGAGTTGTAACATAAAGCCAGGGTTCAAAACTTCTGGACTAATATAAAGTTAAGACAGCTCCTTTTTCCTATTGAGTTCAGAACACTCCTTTTCACCTGCTAATCCATTCTGTAGGGAAGAGGAGGTACACAGCATTTGGGAGCATTATGTACCAAGTATCTTATGTGTAATTTTCATTAAATCCTTGCCAACTCTGACAAGGCTGAAATTGTTAATCCCTTAATGTATGTGAGGAGATGAAACTCAAACCAATTTCCTCAGGAACACACTATTAATAAGATCTGAGACTATAACCTCAACTCAGATATTTCAAAGCTGTTTTCTCTACCCCAGTTTCTATAAAAACTCTATTTTATCTTACAAGGCTTAGACAATGAATCCCTGAATCTTGACAACTTTTTTTCTAACCAAAACAGTCATACTAAAATCAAACAATCTGGTTTACTGTTTCATTTATTACATGATTTTTATGTAGTAATTTTTCTCAGGACTAGCATTCCTCAGCAATGAAGGCTTCATCCCCAACCCCACAATGTTCTCCATCCTGAGTTTTTGTTCCTTCATTTAAAAAAAAAAAAGAAGAAGAAAAATAAAAAAATCAACACTTAATTACTCTATACTCCAGATCATAAAACAACTTTTGTTAGATAAAAGGTAAGTAAACTTGAATATGTGGTAGAAAATAACATGTAAGATGACTCTTAAGGTTTCTAGCATTTTTCATCTTAAATTGTTGATGGTGTAGGAATCAGGAAAAGCCGGATTGAAGAACACTTGCCTAAAAGGTCACACAAATATTGAGTTACTTCTGTGATCCTTGTTTTCTGTCTTTATATCATTCATTCATCACTCGCTCAAATTAATTACACATACTGCACTAGGCCAATCTTACCTTACCATTGTAACTCACACTGATGTCTTTCTTTCCTAAACATCTCTTGGAAATTCCATAAATAGATCAATTTTAGCTGAAGCCTAGGATTCTTGGGTGCCCACTGGGAGTTCATCTGAATACTGAATACTTCATTCTTCCTAACAGACACTCTAAATATGAGATGTTTCCTTATTTTAATCAGCAAGCTGGTTAGCTCTTCTTAAAGTTTTCCCCAAGCATCCCAAACCAGAGAACTTCAACTAAAAACAAAAGAGATATAAAACCACAAGAAAGGCTCTAAAGTATTAAAGTAATTAATCAATCAATCATGATTTTAAGTAGTACAGAAAGCCTAATCACTTTCATGTTTTGGGCTATTTTGCTCGCAAAGAAATGATTGTTTATGCACTAAATTTAAAATCAGACATGGGCAAGAAGACAAAAAAAAAAAAAAAACTCAAGGGAAGTTTTTAAGAGGAAAATCATGTGATACATCTTATCATTTTCTTCTGCATAAATGATTTGCTCTAACCAAATCTGTATGATGTTATAACACATTTTTGTAATAAGTCATTGGCTTTGTAACAGCTTGAACTTAAGTCTTCGATTTAACTATATGATTAATTAATGTTACACAATTTTATAATTAACAAGTCAATACAGGTGTTTCAGAAATTAACTTAATTATGGATAGTTACAAAGAAGCCCAAATCTGTCTCTTCATATAATATACTTTTAAGTTGTAAACAGCAACATTAATATGGGGTGGAAAACTTATAATCTAATAAACAAAATTTACTTAACAAACAGCAAAGTCTCCAAAACTACTTTCCCAAGTAAATTACATGTGACCCTTTCAATAGTGCAACCAAAGTCCAATTCAGCACTAGTTCAAAAATTTGGATTTCTAATCTTGGTTTGAGTACTGACTTGTTCAACAAGTCCAATTCTTTCTATATATTATTTTATAAAAATTTATACATTTCTCACCTGGATGAGTTAAGGGGAAATCTGCACATCTAACAAACATTTATATGTCACAAAAAGGCTTACCTCAATTTTATCAATGCGTATTGCTAGTAAAATAATAATTATACTTGGCTTTTTAAATACTAAGTTATCTAAGTTTTGGGAAAACACAGGTTTAACTACCTTTTTCCAGTCTTCTGATGGAATATAATCTTCATCTTCTTCAGATTCTTCTTCTATTTCACTATCTAGAATTAATAAGACAAAAATACTATAAAATGATTGCTTATCCTGTCCACATCTGTATATTATTTTTATATCTGTTCTTAAATATTTAAATATACCTAAAGGTATCTGCAGGTTAGGACAAGATATTTCTTATCAAATATACGTTTTTAAAACAAAAAACCCATTAACCTTCTAGCATAAACCTAATCTTAGACAACTGTATTCTCATGAAATATTTCCTACAAAAACTTGAGTGAAAAACTGAGAGTCAAAGATAATATGTTTTTAAAATTAATTCTGTTACCAACAGCCTGGTGACATCATAAATTATATGACTTCAATTTGTTCCATTATAAAATGAGAATTTGGACAAAAAAATGGTTTCCTTTGAAACACTGAGAACTTTGTTATTAGCACCACTTTGGGTGGAGTGTGTGAAAGGAGGATATGTATGAAGACCTCCATTCTCTCCAATTTCCATTTTACTAAGAGCAGGCAAGTTGCTGTTTGTTTAGATTTTGGAGTAAGAATGTATTTATATAAAGAGGTAGGAAATCTGAAGAGTATTAGATTGTCAGCATCTGCTCAGTTCTACCACTGACATGAAGTTCAAAAGGGTTAACATTATATATAGAAATTAACTTTTTCTATGGAAAAGCTAAGAGATCAGTATATGTATAACTGCCATGAATACATCACAACTAAAATACCAAATTAGAAGTATAAAATAAGTATTATTTCAAGAGGCAGTCACTTAGCATCTTGCTTTTAAGCAAACACTAGCAATGGATCTGCTTTTTGTTTAAGGGAGGCAAAACCACATTTTCTCCAAACTTAAATTAACACAATTATTTCAATAACTAACCTCTCCTTGCACTGCTGCACTTTCCAATTGGGCCTTATCTTAGATCAAAACTCACAAAAATATTATCATTAGGAGCACTAAATTCACTTCTAAACTAAATGTGTAACAAATCATTCACACAAGACAGTAAGCTATATTTCATGAGAAATTACTGTTCTTCCAAGTGTTGTTGTTCTTTTTAAAGTACAGAAATTTATACCACAAATTAAACTCCTAACACTAATGGGTGGCTTTTTCCTATCATACATCTGTCTTCTAAAGTAATGATTCCTGCTTAGAATCAAACAGTTGCAGCAGATGAAGCATGCAAATATTCAAGACATACACATTGAATGTCTTGACCACCCATCATTTCTGTCTAGATCATAACTGCAGAAAAATCAGGAGAGCTTTTTCTAGGTGTAACATATTCCACCTCAAGGTTCAACCACTTCTTCAAGACATGGGAGCCACTGATTAGAGAAAGCGATGCTCATAAATAATACCTTAAAAAGGCTAAGAAGGTTAAAACAGTCGAAAAAGAAAAGTGAGGAAAAGACCAGGAGAAATAAACAATCATGAAACAAACTAAATTTAAAGAAGGGTCAGGGGAAAAAAGGAACACACTCAAAATCAAGTAGTATAGTGTCAACACAATTACTGTAGTATATTCACGGACAACAGGGCCACAGCAAAGCTAAACCAATAACCTAGAACAAAACTCCATTACTGTTGAGTGAGATTTCAGATTAAGTGAATTCAAACAGAGCAGTGAAGAAAAACACTAGAATTTTAGGTCATATATTAAATAATAAAAATTATATTTAAACTGCAGCTGCCAATAATACTTACTTGTATCAAAATATTTACATCGCCGTGGGCGGATTATTTCCTGGGCATCCTGAGAAGCAACAGATTGTGATGGATCATCATTGGAGGACTGAGTTTCATCCTCCTGACCTGATGAATCCTTTATATGCTCTTCCTGTGGAGTAACAAATTAAATATCTTTAAGATGTAGGGAGAATTGTTGAAGATGAAAAGGTCTTAGTATTCCAAATACAACTAGAAGGCTAAAATAAATACTAAATACAGCTTGGTGTCTTGCGTTGGAGTCTGGAACAGGAAAAAAGACATTAATGGAAAGCCCAGTGAAATCTGAAATGCCCATAGTTTAATTAATAGTACTGTACCAGTGCCGATTTCTTAGTTTTGATAAATATACCACGGTTATGTAAGATTTCAACATTAGGTGAAGCTGGGTGAAATATATACAGGATCTTTCTGTACTATCTTTGAACCTCTTCTGTAGAACTAAAATTAATTCAAAACAAAATTAAAAAAAAGAATAAAAAACTGCCAATTAACCCTCATTACTTAAAAAGAATAGCATTTTTAAAAGTTGGCTCAAATTAATTTAGAATAGGCATTGCAAAGAAATCTGAATGACACAACCAAAAACCTTGATTCTCAGGAATGGATTACAGGGGGCATCCAATTTTTATTACATATTTCTTTAATTTTTAACATTTAAATGTATTACTTTTAAAATCAGAAAGAGTAAAGATAGACTATAAAAATAAGAGTCAAATGAATATATTAATAGATTATAACTTCAACAAGAATAAATACTACAATCTTAAAACCATGTATATAACCTTACTTTATTTTCCCCACTACAGCCACTGTTATCATCATTATCAGCATCTTCATCATCTTCACCTTCTTCTTCCTCTTCCTCCTCCTCCTCCTCATCTTCAGGTAGTCGAATAGTACTATCATAACCATAAAGGCTGAGAAGTTCATGAATTGGCATGTCGCCTTCCTAAGCAGACCAAAATAAAAAGTCATTTTCTGAGTGTTAGTTCATATTCCTATAAATCCCAAATCTATAATTATTCATTCTATATAGAGTACTTTTAGAACCATGTATCAAGAATTCTCAAATCGTAAAAGTGAAACTGAAACCTAGGAAAATACTAGTCTTTTAAGAATTTCTGTAGGAGACTGAGCAATTCTAACTGCTAGTAACAAAATAAAATCTTTAGAAGTACTAAAAGATGGCATTAGCTTAAAATAAAATTTCTTTGGTGCAATCAATTCAGTAAATGTAGAGACAGTAAATATGGATGCTCACAATTAATAAGAGTACCATACATGATTTTGGAGTAGGGAAATAGAAATATTAGAAAACAGACTATAAACTAACATTAACAAACTCCAAAGGGAGATGATATTCACAGTCCAGCCCAAACACGTTAAAACATCAATGAAATGCAGAAATGACACTGGATTACATTAACCGTGTATTTTTTCTTAGCTATCTGTTTAAGTACATGTAAAATCATCTCATGCAACCATTAAAATTTCTTACAAAATCATTATCTCCATTTCATAGATGGGGAAACTGAGGCTGACAGATTAAGCAATTTCTCCTAAAATCACACAAGTTAATAGTAGTGGTGCCAGATTTCAAGTCTAATTCCAAAGCCATACTCCTATCAGTAGACCACACTGCCTTAGCAAGGGATCTCCCCCAACCCACAAAAGGCATATTCTGAGGGGGAAATGACAAAACACCCATACACTGTGAAATGAGATATACAGAAGGTACTCCAATCAGTAATCAAGTATCAAGTATGAAATAAAGTATCAGGGAAACCTAAACACACACACACACACACACACACACACACACACACTCTCTCTCTCTCTCTCTCTCTCTCTCTCTCTCTCTCTCTCTCTCTCTCTCTCTCCCTCTCTCTCTAGGAAAAATTGAACAGCAAATGTCAGTTTAGAACCTAGAAAAAGAGTAACCATCAAACAAGACATGTTTACTCTCTCTCTCTCCCTCTCTCTCTAGGAAAAATTGAACAGCAAATGTCAGTTTAGAACCTAGAAAAAGAGTAACCATCAAACAAGACATGTTTTCTATTTCTCCAGCAACCTTATAGCCTTATTCATGGACAGAATAAGTCTAGCCCATACGTTAAACACATTACTACAGCAGAGATGGGCACATCAGACTAGATGATATATACACCCTGATGACACTAACCACTTAGATCATACAATTAACTCCCATCACACTGAATTTATGTATAAGAAGCACATGTACAATAAAATTTGAAAAAAATTATTGTAGAAATAGAAGAAAATGCTGTTTAACACTCTATTTCACACTGTAAGTGAATATGCTAGTTAAAATCAGTTTGTGAATCTGTTTCTGAGAGAGAAATCAATTCTGATAGCCCTAACAGTGTGCAGTAGCCATAATCTAAAGTTGTAACTGTATTAGGCAAGGTAGTACATTTCCAACTGACTGACCAACTAGCAAACTTAGACTGACACCTTGTATCCTGACTCTCAAAGAGCAGTAACACTGTAACACTACTTGAGGTATTCAAAGATCCACTCCAAGCAGGTATCTGGTCCATGTACCAAGGATCTGGTACAGGAGACAGAAATTTGGGATTTAGGAGTCAGGATTTAAGAATTAAAACAGAACTTCAAAATCAAAAAAAGAATGAAATAAGGCCAGAGAAGGTTGGTTGTATATACAATAACAACAAATAACTGCCATAGTGTTTTTCTATGTGTCTGGCATTTGTGGTAAGTGCTTTGATTCCACATCTTGTTCCATCTTTTCTTAGCAAAAGCAGAATGAGAATATTATACAATCTCATTAGATCTTTAAAAGTACCAGATGGGAGTACTTACTACCTGTATTTAACAAGAAAATCAAGCAGGAAGAAACATTGTGCACAGATAGAGACTTTACTACAATACCTAAACCACCTAATCCCAGCTCATACTTTAGACTTATTCTGCATCACAAGTTAGAAGCAGGTTTAACAACTGAAGTCACTATGAGCAAGACCCCCCTGAAGTCACTAGTGTGTATGAGGGACAAACCAAGAAAAGCATTTTAGCCTAAGTTTGCACCTTACACTTACATGGGCCTTAAGAATTCAAAAAGAGCTTGTTTCATACTTATTTCATCTTTAAAACTACCCCAATGTATATTACTATTATCTCTAATGTTTACAAGTGAGTTAATTGATACTTTGAGAGCTCACACAAGAGAGGTAGATTATCAGTCAAGTACCTCAGACTTCTACCTTTGGTCTGTCTTATTCAAGGACAACAGAATCATCTTGAGGGCTTATTAAACAGACTGCCAAGCACCACCAATAAGTTTCTCTTCTAGTATGTCTGAAGGGAGGCCTCAGTATCTATATTTTTAGTAACTGTCAGATATTCTGCTGGTACAGGACCTCCTTGAAAAACACCTACCTCACCGTTCTAGGACATGATACATGCAAATCAGCCTTTCCAGTAGGAGGTAATAAAGACTGATCATTATCTTTCATAAAGCTATGTTAACATATGACTTCCAGCTCACTTACATGTCAAAAGAACAGGTGACAGTAATTGCATGGAATGATTTTTTTTCTTATCATTATCAGGAATGTGCAATGTCTGACACCTGCGGTTAAGTCAAGATTCTTCCCTCTTGGACATGCAATTGAGAAATGTGACTAACTTTATAAAAATTCATTTCTCAAGGAAAAATTTAGCAACGACTTCAATACTGACTAAGCACAGAGGAAGAGTCAAAAGTAGCTCATCACAGTGCATTTGAAGAACTACTTGAATTTGAAGAAACAGTAATAGAACTGGCAGAAAAGTTATTTAGCTCAGAGGAAATGACAACTGTACATGCACATAAACAAAAATAAATAAGCAGGTTACCCTGATTGGAGAAGGTATCTGTAGTTAATTTAAAAATGAAAGGACTGGTATTTTTACTACTACTTTCTTCAATTTTACTTAGTTTCTAAAGGGATCTGTTATACTCTACTTTTGACTCAATTTGAGAGTAGCTATTGAGCAGTGACTGATACTACAGAAGGGCTTAGGGGAAATTATAAAATGAAAGGTTCAAGACGGACTTAGGCATGGAGAGATTTAGTCTGCCAAGGAGACTGAGATAAGTTAGAATCCAGTGCTATTATTCACATGTAGTATAATCAGAATCTAAAATAAATTAGCGGTTGCAGTAAAGAAAAACACTTAAGAGACCCTGCGGAAGAAATCAACAGGATTAAACCATAGGTTGAGTGATAATGAATCTCTGGTTCCAGACTTGCCTGGACCCAGACACACATTCAGATGACTTCTGAAAAGGTTCTAAAAAATAATAAAAACAATAGTTCTAAAAACATTCTAGTAAACTTCTAAAAAGTTTGTTTTCAGTCAGTTAGTTTTAAATGGGTTCTATCATGTGTAAACAAAATATCCATGATTATCCCATCAAGAAAATGCTTGGTTAATGTTAAAAACAAAGAGTATATAGTGGTACATTTGAGTGGAGGTTAGAGGCATCAACTCTCATGCAGTCAAAAATCTGTATTGTTAACTGTTGACTCCCCATAAACTTTACTAACAGCCTACTGTTGATCAAAAGCCTACTGGTAACATAAACAGCCAATTAACACATATTTTGTGTTATATGTGTTATATACTATATTCATACAATAAACTAGAGAAAAGAAAAATTTTCAAATTGTCACACATCTCCAAAATATTTTCCAATATATTTTTAAAAATCCATATGTAAGTAGAACCATGCAGTTCAAACCCATGTGGATCAAAGGTCAATTGTATTATGCTTTTGCATTTTTAACATAACTCCTGTCCCCAACACCAAGTTAGTAAAGCAATAAATTAGAGAACATCAACCATGACCCACTGAGGAATACAATACAATACAGTTAAGAGAGTCTGACAACAGTATGAAAGTGTCTTAATTATCTAAGGTGTAAAGTGAAGATCTTGCAGCAAACACTGGGCTATAACTGCAATAAAAACCAAATCTATGCTGAGGAATTCTCAGTTTTTAATTCAAGTGTACTTACTGTATCTCTATTTTTGCACTAACTGAATTAAAGATTTAGCAAGTATCGAGTAAGGATCATTTACTATTTGCCCCTAATCCTTTCCTTCTACTTACATACTCATCTTCTTCCAGGAAATATTATTTCCTCCATTCCAAGCATGTTATTTTTATTGACAGTTCCCCTTTTGGGCCACATAGCATCTAACCCAATCAATATCACTGCATTTCCTGGCAACAGGTTTGGAATGCACATGTGACCCAAGTTTAGCCAGTTTGTTTCCAGATTTTTACCCAAAGCAGCTAAAGAAACACAGAGTATCTTAAGCAGTTTATCTGGGAGACCTGGAAACAAACAGCATATGAAGAAAGCTGGTCTGAAAAAGGACGCCACCTTGTAGAAAAGCAAAAACAGAAAATATGTTCTGGTGGCACTTCAGTCTCTGAGGCATAGATACTCCCCTGCCCTTAATGAAATTACATGAGCCTTACACTAAATTCATTTTGCTTAAGCTAGCTCAAGATGGAGTCTGCTATTTACCCCCAAATATTCTGATATATAAACAGTAATGATATCCCATAAAGCAAGTGTTTGTTGCTATTTCTCTCTGAATCAGGACTAAAAGCTGAATAATGTGGCTGACAGTGCATTATTAAACCAGGGCCTGTCAGTTACCTGTTCCAGAGACTCTCCCACTAGTTTATATTGTTGAAGTCTCTGTTCTTCTAGGTAATAAGCGGCTTTCTTCCACTTAAATTGAAACATTGCAATAAAGTGGCACAGTTTTTTACTCCCATTCACAAAAGTGTTAAAGAGTTATAGTGCAGATATGGGGGGAACAGTGGAAAAGAAAATTATAGGTCAAATACAGCGGATCTTCATTTTTAGGATTACAGATCTTTGAGAATTTTATGAATGATATTAACTACTATGACTTATTGAGTGATTATCACATGCTCAACACTGTGCTAAATGTTTTACATATATCATCCTTATTACAACACTGAAGCTTAATAACATTAATTAGTCCAAAGTCACACATTAAGTAAGGAGTGCAGCTGCATTGTGAACCAGGCAGTCTGACTCACTGCTTTACAGTACCCTTACACACATATGCATGTACACTGATGTCTTCAAAACCTGAACCTAGGTTAAGTGTATACTATCCTGATGCAATGTGAAATAAAAGGTGTTGGGTTGAGAGAGTATAAAAAGTAAGGAAAATGAATGTAGTATAATATGAATAAAAATATAAGGTGGACTAGCATACTGTGATTTAAAAAGCTGTCTAAGCACTACAACAAAATGAGGAGAAACCATGTCTACATAAGCTAAAGGGAGGCTAACTGGAGGTGAAAAGAACAGACTTTTAAAAAGACAAACATGGTATATGAAATTAAACCTGTCCTTTTAATAAATAAAGTTACCAAGCATCAACTGTAGTATTTTAAAGCTGGAGTGACGTCCAGTTCCTGGCTTCAGAGGAGACAGCTTGGTCTCCTTCACATGAGGTTAGTCATTTAGAAATGACAACTCATGGCAGATGTTGGCTGTAGATAAACACAGTACTCTTCTCATACCTGTTTTACCAAAACTGACTTACCAGTAAATGCTTTTGAGGAGGGGAGGAAGAAGGAAAGAGGCTCATTTCCAGCCATAAAGGCCTAATCCAGATTGGACTAGAGACAGTTCCTCAGGCAACCACCTCTTGGGGCTGCAATTGACTATGAGAAAAACTAAACTACGAAGGGGTGGAGGCAGCGAACTCTTCTTTATGATCCCCATACCAGGGTTTCGTTTTTATCTGTAATAATGCATGCTGTATGTGGACATCAAAAAATACTTAAAACTCTCACATTTCAATCTTTATTCTTTAGCTCTGGAGATTCACGAGGTGGAATGCGTCTAGCACTTTACACAGATAAATAACATAAAGATAGCTGATCCTGATCCCTCTTCCCCCAGACTGCTACAACTGTGCCTTTCAAAGTGAGGCTATGAGTTTCAGAGTGAATTTAAAATACAGAGCTAAACCTCTGTACTTGTTATACTAGCAACAAGTCTATTAACTCTGGAAATGATTCTGGCAACCCTAAGGGTTATCACCATAATAAATTCTAACCTGTATGTCTAATTATATTGAAACATTTAAATGCTAAACTTTTATAACTAAAATGCCTTTAATACTGGTAAGATTCATGTATACAAATATAATAACACACATCAAAGTTTCTTCTATGAAAAGCTAATTTTCATCTAAAGTTTTAGAATTCAAATTGAATAAACTTAAAACCACAGGCTATGCAGTTACTGATAACTCCTGAATATATCAACTGTCAGATTCTGCCACAAGTACTTCAAAAATCTATTTTGTGCAACCAAGGTACATGTAAAAACCACCTTACCAATTCCTGACATAACTATAATTGCTTCACTTCTAGAAAAGCAAATCAGTAATCATGACTAAATCTTGCTCACTTTTAAATAAAAACAAAAACCATACCTGAAGAGTTTATCACTATAGGAAATCCAACATACTGGCCCTCAACTAGCTTATCTGCAGGTTATAGATCAAAGAGAGCATTGGTGATTATGTGCTACTTAAATCTAAACCTTAATTATTCTGGGAGAAGTTAAAAGCATCTGAGAAGGTATAAGACTGTCTGTTTGAAAAGAATGATAAAAGACTGGTTCCCTTATCTCTGTCTTCCTTTGTATATCCTCTATATGTAATTCTATTTTAATTATTTTTTCCTATGGAAGGGTCATTTGAAAGTAAATTTTCAGGGGGCTGTAAGGGACTGAAGAAGGCAGTAGATTATAGGAGAAATAAGAAAAGACAGTAACATACCCAAAATTTTAGCAAAGCCTTTCAGTAATTTTAAACTAATGTAACAGCCCATTTCCTGAAACAGAAAAAAAACAACCATTTTACCTCATAATCTATTATAACCTGTGCTTATCTCTTCTTGAGTAATTACTTTACTCAATTACTTAAGTAATACAGAATATAGTAAGATGGAAAATATAAGATTTTATTCCTTTATCTTTTATCCCAGGGATGGGTCATTCAGGACAGGAAAATATATCTAAAGTGGTAGAACTTTCTGTGAAATATAAGCAAATAATTGAAACTAACTGCTTTTCCACTTCATGAATATATGCAGTGACTGTGATTGATTTTTAAATCAACCGTTTCCTTTGATATTTGCCTAGATTCTGAACCATCCACAAAAATTAACCCTGTCTTCTTAATGGCCTTCCAGCCTTTTCTAATCAGTAGTTCAGACTCCAGGTTTTTCCTATGCTTTTTAACCCATCTGAAAAAGCTTTTATAACAACTATAATATCACTGCTACTAAGACCAATTCTGTTCTCTGGCATAAAATATTATGTTGCTTAGGCATTGTGGATTAAGCCAGTTTTAATTGCTAAATGATCCAAAATGGGACCTCCTGACAAGATTTGTTAAATATTAATAGGACTGCTTTTCCAGCTCTTTAAATGTACACTTTCAAAAGTTCCAACTAAAATTCAGAAACACAGATTAGTCTTTATTATATACAACCGTAAGAATTTGTTTTCCATGATAGTATGTGCTCCAAATGCTTAAAGACTGGCACTGTGTTTTTATGTTCTTTATTTATTAAGTTCTTTTTATCATGGAGTATAGCAGATTATGTAAGTAATAAATTTCAATTAGAGTATACCAGATTGATTTATCCATTCATTCAAAATTTGAGTGACCATTCTTGCTAGGTACCATGAAATACATTGGTGAATGAAATAGATAAGGTCCTTCCTCTCATGGAACTGAAGGAGGATACAGCTGATAAATTAAACAAACATTATTATAAATTGTATTAGGTATAAAGTACTGAATGGGTTACAGTAGTCAACAGAGCTAATTAGGGGCCAGGAAAGGCCACTCTGAGAAGGCAACATTAAGCCCAAACTGAGGAGAAAAAGCCAGCTTTGGAAATCACATACCAGAGAGTGAACTGAAAAGCCTTGAAGCAGTCAGAAACCAGCACATCTAAGAACAAAGGCAGCTAGTGTGGCTACAGGACAGGGCAGTGTAATATATGGATGAAAGACCATATCATGCAAGTGGCCTTACTGACCAGGCCAGGTCAAGCAGTCTGGATTTTCCTTTGGTGTAATAGGAAGCCACTATTTAAATAGGAGGTTGACAAAAATTGACTCATATATTTTGAAAAGAATATCATGGCTGCTGTAAAAATATACTGGAGGGAAGAGTGGTAAAAAAGGAAATGGGAGAAACCTGTTAGGAAGCTACTACAATAGTCTAGGCTAAAATGACAGTGATCTAGGCTAAAGGGTGGCAGCAGAGAGACAGCAAGAGTCACATAATAAATATTTTGTGGATAGAAATGATAGGCTTATTTGCGAATGAGTATTGGGAATGAAGGAAGATGACTCCCTTGTTTCTGACTTTTAGGCAACAAAATAATAGTAGTACTATTTTCTACTTAAATGCAGAAGACAAAGGAACAGGGAGAGGAAGGAGAACATCAATCAATAGTTCTGTTTTGTACATTTAAAATTTAAAGCAGTCTACTGAGAAATTCAAGCAAAAAAGTCAAACAGGTGGTTAGATAAACAAAATTAGAGACAGGGAATAAGCGAACGCTAGAAAAATAAACTAAGGAATACTGGAAAACAGACATCATGGAATAGATTAGATCAGATCACTTAGTTTAGCAATTTTCAAATTTGGTTTGTATATTTAATGAAGATGTAGATTTGAGCCCCACCCTGCAGGGGATTCTAATTCAGTAAGCCTTGGGAAGAGGTATAAGACTTCACTTCTTAGTAAGTCCATGAGTATTCTGAAGCAGCTGTCCCTCATACTAAATTTTGAGAAGCACTGATCTAAAAGATAAAAGAGAAATCCAGAACTGAGAAATGGGAAATTTCAAATTTAAACCTTGGGTAAAGGAAGATGAGTCTGCAAAGTTTAACAAAATAGGAACAAGTAGATAGGGAAAACTAGCCAGTGGGGTGGGTACTCCAGGGTTGAAATAAAAGGAAATCTAAGTTGTGTCGAATACTGAAGAGTAGAGAAAAAATGACCAACAGATATAAAAAAAATCATTGTTCATCTTGATAGGTAGGGGTGAGTAAATCTGGAGCACTTTATGGAGCAAATGGGAAATGAAAAGGATAGTGACAATTTTAAGAAATTTTGGCTTCACTGGATAGTAAATAAATGGTACAGTAATTGGGAGAGGACAGAAGGTATACAAGAGGAAATTTAAGATCATTTAATAGTTCATTTGTAACCTGATACATGTGATGTTTTAGCAAAGTAACTATTTGACTTCTGCACATACTAAAGTTACTTAAAAAAAATAAACTTTTCCTATCAAACTTTAAACATCCCACCCTCAACCAAACAGAATTTTTCAGTATCAATTATATGTAACACCATTTCCCCCCAAAACACAGGTAGAAAACCAAAATTTCAAGTGTTTTCTCTCTCCACAAGAAAGTTGTAACCATTTCATCCTCCAGTTCTCATTGTTATTTACCCTTGCAAGATCCTCTATTTCAGAACTGAAGTTTGTTTCTCCTTCCATCATTTCTTCCTCTTCTAATGTTCGTTCATCATCAAAATCATGAACCAGCATGTCAGCTGATGGATCAAATTCATGGTCATCTGACGTTGCTGAACCTCCTGGTAAAGATAGTTGAAAAAGTGTGGTAAACCAAATTAGGTGTATCTTATTAGCTGACTGTATTCTTGCCCTTACTTATCACCCCCCCACCCCAAAAATATACCTCTTCTGTAAGGAATTATTTTTGCCCTATATCACCTCTATATATTTGCAATTACAACTGTGAAAGTAGGAGGGGAGAAGGGGGTACTTATAACTTCAAAAAATGTTTACAGCTGTTAAAAAAAGTAATGTGATCTTCTGAACATGAAACGAGTTGTAAAGAATAAAAGATTGTATCAAATAAAAATTGTCTTTTGTCAGGGGGAGGAAAAAAATCACAGTTCTTAATCATTTGATTGTTATCTAATAGACCCCATGAGTGTGAACTCCTATCACCCTTGAAGAGAATATCGTGTTTTTAAGTATGTAGTCATCTATATAATGAAAACACAGCTGCACTCAAATACTATTCTTCTAACAACACTTCCATAAAAATATTTTCTAATATATAGGTAGCTGTCCTTAGTTACTTAGTTGGTTTTGATCTGAAATTGGAGCATAAAAGTAAAATTAATTAAAATTGCACACAAAACTCTTATGAAAGGCATTGAAAATAATCTAGTAGTAGTTAACTAATTTGTAAGTTAATCTGTTTTTAGCCTGATAGCTAGGGAATGTTGCTATACTCAGTAGGTTCAAGCCTTCTAACAGCAGATTGCAAATGACTTGGCATGTATATATATTCTGTACAGTACTCCCACATCTGGCAACTACAAAATCTAGACTTAAGATTTCAAAAGTACTGTTTACTATTAAACAAATGAGTTATTTAACATTTAAAAAAATCAATTAGCCATTTCTTTTATACACTTAAACTGTTAAAGATTATATTAATAGATGTACCTACCCTTCCATTTGACTCCAGTAAAAGAACCAATAAATAAAGAGAGGTAGAGGCTTATTTCCTGAAAACAAGTCTATTAGGGATAAGGAGCACCCAAGGCTTAGAATTCTTGTCACCTCCCACAATTTTTAGTGTAAAAGCCATTTGTTGAGTGCTTTTAGTACTATGTGCTAAGTAGTAGGCTTATGCACGTCACATCATCTCATTTAATTGTCAGACAATTCTATGAAGAATAAAAACAAAAGCTTGAGGCCCAAAGAGTTTAAGCAAACTGTTTAAACTCATAGAGCTAGTAGATGGCAAGAATAGAATTTGAATACTGGGTCTGCTAATTACACCACCAGGGCTTTTAACTTTACCCCAAGTCTCCTGTAACTCACAACCTCAGACAGTACATATCCTGCCTCAAAGAATACTTGAAGAAAGCCAATTTTACTAGTTGAGTGAATTGCAAGTCGGGTCAGGTGGCAAAACAATTATAAGTCACTGTGCTATTTGAGGAGTACAACAAAATATTGATACTAAATATAAAATAACTAAATACATCACTATTAAATCAGGTATCTTCTTATAGTACAAATGAGTTAACAAATTAAGTTTTAGAACAGCTTATAAAATGAGCATAAGAACACATTTAGAAAAGTATATTCTTAATTTCTTCTGGCAACTAATAATAGCATGGCATAATATTACTGGCATCTTAAAACTAGTAGAAGAACAGATACAAAGGTTCCTAAGAGAACAGGTTTGGAGCTGCTAATTTAGTTGCAACATTTTTACCCCAATCATTGTCCCTTCTTTCTGAGTTTTCAATGGAAAATGTTCCCAAAATGTTTCAGTTTAATCAACAATCTTCTAGGACACTTAGTCAGTAATTATATATTCCTACAAATGCTATACTTTTCTTCTCTCTTGTAGGCAGAAAGATCCTAAAATCTCCACACCACCACTTTGTATACTATTACCCTGTTATATAATTCCTATTGGATGCAAATATTGTCAAAAAATAATTATGCTTAATTCCTAACTGCTTATACCTTTTTACTAACTTAAAAAAAAAACAAGTTCATTAGTACACAACACCAAATCTTAAGTGTTACAACTTAGCTGAAGTTCCCCATTTTTGCCATTTTTGAAAAGCCAGTTGTATTTAAAGCCTTGCTACTCCACCCTCCCACTATGTAAAAAAAAGTGTGGATGAAGCTTTTTTCTCCATTCTCACTCTTAACTCCTTTCCCCACAGATACACTGCACTGTTTTCAAGAAACCTTCAATTTAAATTTTCTTGCTTTAAATTTGGCCTCTTTGTTTCATTTGACTTATTTTTACCTCATTCTACAAGACCAACTAACCATCACATCCCTTTCTATTAATTACTAGACTCATCGTTAGGCTGTATCCTAAGGGGTAGGAATCCCCAAAACAAATTATTAGTGGGAGGGAATTGGTGCCTTCTGTAAATAAATGGTTTGCTTCAGAGTTAATACAAATGTCACTGCTTTGTCATAAAGCTCCATTAGACTGCAAAATTACTGTAAGGTACCTTACATCTTTCCAACAACTCATAGCACATGCACTATTTAATCATTTACCTTCCCCTCCCTAAATCCCCACCTCTAATGGCTACCAGTCTTGCACATCAAGTACTGTGCCTCAAAACTGGTTTATAGTGGTGGAGTCTATACACAAGCCACTTAGCCTGGGTTATGTGACTATTATTACTAGCATCAGTTTCAAAGTGCAGATGTTACAAAATACAAAGCTTTCACCAGTAGACCAAAGTATTTTTTAATATGAAGCCTCTATTTCTAATTTTTCCATCAACTTTTCAACTGCCTACAATTAGTATTACTTACAAGAAACAAGAAACATTCCTTTGAGCAGAAGCCAGATAGTACAAATACCACCCACCTCAAAAAATTTCCTTGGTCTGAAAACAATTAAAAAGAAATTTCAATTTGAGTAAATATTCAGCAAGTAGTAAAGTACATCAAAAACATTTGTATTCTTCAAGTTCTACTATTCTTCCAGTTCACCTAGACTGATTTAAATGCAATGGAAACTGAGAAAGCAATTTATCAATACCACTTTTGGAGTTATTATTTTTATGTACCTATGTATTACCTGATGAATGACTCAAAAATTCATAGAAAAATATCTAAAACTCAGTCTATTAGTAATGTCACATTAACAAAAACCCTGTTTCTTCAATGAAAATTATTTCTGTGTTTGAAAGAAAAAAAACATTAAGAATAATTCCATGTCCTGAAAAGAATATGGTAATCTGATATTGATCTGAGGTCAGATTATTTCCAACCTCAACCACCCAGAACATTATTTATAAACCAGGAAGAAAAAAAAAAAATGCTTGAGTTTCAGAAATGTCACAAAGCCTAATGTACTTTGCTTCCAAGCATATTAGAAAAAGTGTAAGACATTTCCAGCTGAAATAAATATGACAAAATCAACTGCCAATTGGACACACTAGTTATTTAGAAGGGTATTCTATTCTGGAGGTATTCTATTCCAACCCTTACTTGATATATTCATTACAGAGTAGAATGATTTGCATTCATAAAAAGGAACCTGAACTATTAAAAAAAGGTTTATGTTAATTCAAGCATTTTTGTGAACTTTTTCCTTAAAATTTAAAACACAGAAAGTTGAATGCTTCAATAATCTGGAAAATTCAGTAATACATCATATGTAAATATTTAATACATATGAGATGTTGTCAAATAAAACACTACCATGCCTCAGAGAGCTCCCTTATCTCATTGCTCTATAATGCTGTTATTATATAATCACAGCTATATAATGCTGTTCCTTAATCCTCATCCTCCCTAGCCAAAGGCAGTCTTCTCTTGGTAAAGTCCTGGGACACTGAGGCAGAAAGACTAGCATCAGACTCTTCTCTCACTATTTAGTAAAACCAACTGGTGACAAACAGGAATGGTGTCATCTCTGGTGCCAGACCTCTATTTGACTGATCATGGAAAGCCCAAATTCAGATTTTATATAAAACTTATTCTAATTTTTGAAGATCATGACTCTGGCCAAACAAAACATTTATGGTGTAGATTTGGTCCAAATTATCACATATTTGCAAAGTCTTTTAAGTTAGGAAAAAATGAACCTGTATTGTATATGGAGAATACAGAAATCCAAAGACATAGGGCCTGAGGATAAAACTTAATCCTATTTCAATCTAAAAATAACTTCTTAATTTACAAAATTAAATATTCACTTGTTAAGTTTTATTTTTTGTTCCATCAGTAATTAACAATTTTTTTCTCAATGAATTACTTTGAATTTTCTATGCAAGCAAATATTCCTAAGCAGTGATTCCTTTTAAAAAAATATACTTCATATAAACTTAAAATCAGATAGCAATTAAAAACTTCTAAGAAATACATTTGACAATTCATCAAAAAAAAAAAGAGGGAACCCACAAATAGTCATGAGGTTGAACTCATAGCAGCCTCACCTGTACTTTCATGGGAAGTCAAATATTTCATCCATTTCTTTTTCCCCAGAGAAAAGAAGCATTCAGAAGAAAAGCAAGTCAGATGATAGTCTAACTCCTCTAACCTTTATGCAACTAATAGGACAAATGTTAGTCAAACAGAGATTATAAAAAATACAGAAAATACTTACCTGGACTTGAAGACTCAACAGATGGCTGAAGGGGGAAGAAGAGAAGAAAAATTAGCGTCTTTGTGTAGTAAATCTTTACAAACATTACAAGATTTATTCAATGACTAATATGACACCACCAACTACAGCAAGTTTTAATGTCTCAATTACCTAAGACACACTAAAACTTCCCATATAATCCTTTCATGGACCTATTTAGTTAAACACAGAAAAAATCCAAAACACTCCTGAATCTAGAAAAAAAGACAATAATACAGAATTAATTCAGATTTTAAAGGCAAATATGGGTCTCATAACGTGGTTTAAGAGATGATTGTAGATCTTGGCATTTTCTGAAATATTCTCTCCTATCAATACAGGGTAAAATACATATAAGATTTGCTATCAAGCTGGTCTCTGGCTTAAAATGTGTTTTTGAGAGAAGCAAAAACCATTTAAGGCACTATTTTACATAAGAATTATATTGTAAAAAAGCAACAGAAGAAATTAAAATGTTACTTAAGCACTAAACAGTATGTTGTTAATTTTATGGACAGACAACATACTTCTAAATTATCACTGAATTAGCAACATTCCAAGCTAAACAGAGGTTAAATTATGCAGTGGAAGATCTCAAACATTCCCAATTACAACGCTCCTTTCTAATATACTATTCTACCTCTCATAAATTTAACTACAAGATCTGAAAAATTTGAAGACTGTTAGCAACTTACTTTCATAGTATCACCACTTGACAATTTATGGCTGTTTTATCTTAATTCGGTTAATGTGCAATTATAAAGTCACCTATCAACAAAATCCTATAAAACAAATTGCAAAAAACTAAAAGATGCTTCAAATGACAAACTTTATAACTAAAACCTTAACTAGTTATTTCAGGGCCATCTATTTCATACCATTAAAAGTCAGAGATGCTGCAAGGCCAAAAGCACTAGCAAAAACAGATAGAGATAGCCTAGTACAGACAGTCTCTAACTTATGATGGTTTGACTTAAGATTTTTCAATGGTGCTAAAGCAGTATGCATTCATGGAATGACAGGAACTATACATCAATTTTTGAATTTTAATCTTTTCCTGGGCTAGCGATAGGCAGTATGACTCTCTCTTGGGAAGCGACACTGAGACGCTGCTTCCATTCAGCCACATCACCACCAGAATAAACAACCCATATGCTTACAACCATTGTGTACCCATACAACCATTCTGTTTTTACTTTCAATGCAGTATTCAATAAATTACGTAAGATATTCAACACTTTACTATAAAATAGGCTTTGTGTTAGATGATTTTGCTCAAATGTAGGCTAATGTAAGTTTTTTAGTATATTCAAGGTAAGCTACGCTAAACTATGGTAAGTTAGGTGTATTAAATTCATTTTCTATTTATGATATTTTCACCTTACGGTGGATTATTGGCATGTAACCCCATTGTAAACTGAGAAAGATATTTATTTTCCTTCTTTCTCCTAAGTAATGGGGCAGAGAGGCAAGAAAACAAAATAGAAATGAAGAAAGAACCCAATTTTTCAAAAGCTGGGCATCCAACACAAATTCTTCTAATGTGTTACAACTCTATTTTGAAAACTGCATTATGCTTCTGTATTAAGTATGACATTCTAGACTCCATATGCCTCAGATTCTTTTGAGGCACACTTTTTCAAGGGTCCTATTTTTACCTTTTAATTCTTAGAATGGTTCTTTCCTATAGACTGTCTTACTCTAACAGAAAACTGTTATTCAGTATTCAGTATTACATATTTTAAAGAGGTATACCACTAAAGAGTCACTGTGATGCAATACAATCGACACTGTTACTTTTTAATTCCATTCTTCTAATGGGAGGCTGGTAGGGTGACAAGGACAATCAAGTAATATAACCATAAAAAGGTTTTCTAGCTTGCTTAGCATCTTCTGGACAGAGCTATATATTTCTGGCTTTACCCACCACTCAAATTATTACACTGCAAGTCAACATTTTAAGATACTAACTCACTTTTGTTTTCATGCAAATACACATTTCCCACATTAACAACCTCTGTTAAAGGCTACAAAATTAATGACCATCTTTATCTGGTCCCAGGTTCACTAGCCAGAGTAGCTTGACAATGCTGTTTTCCTTATAAGTAAGCTTTATAAACACGTTTGCATAAAGAAAAAGAAACACAAGCATTTCTTTCAAATTAGGAGCTTAAAAGAAATGGTCCTCTGAGCATTTAGTTCTGTTTGCACACTCGGTAATTATTTAAGTCTTCTGATAAAAAACGCTTTCTGATTAAAAATAAGTTATTTATTGAAGAATAAAAGGTGTATTTCTAGTAGTGTTAGATATTGGCAAATTATAATAGAGATACTGAATTGTGAATGGCATCTGTATAGTTTGTACAAGGTCTCAAACATCAATAAATGTTAGTTAATAGTTACTTTAAAATCCTGAATAAATCCCTAAATATTTTCCATTCATTAAGGTACTAAATGTTTTCAAGACTGGTGGAATTTTTAGGTATTACTGATAAAAAGTAGAACAACCAGTGTTCATGGATAGCACTATGTGTTCATAGTGTTCACATATTGAAGTACATCAAGCACACTGGAATGCTTTAAGAACCATGATTTCACTAATGGTACATCTGGACTAGGATACGGGGAGGAGAAATAAGTATGGTTTGCCTATAGATATTTTAGTATTCTATATTCAAGTTAAAATTCTACTGTATCAATTTGAGAAGGATGAGAGGAGACCAGTTTCTTGAAATTTAATCCAGTTAAATAAAAGATGAGGCTCTGGAAAACTGGCATTTGAAAATAGTTTAAAGATTACTTTTGCCCCACTGACAATCAAAAAGATATTTACAAAATAAAAGTTAAGAATCAAAATACATATTTCAGAGTGGAATAAATATATATGTTATATAGTACTATATATTTTCAAATGCATAAAGTTACTTGATCATAATCATTAAACTTGGCAGTAAATCTGCCCCACCAATATGCCCCACCAAACCCAGGGAGAGGAGCCATTTGATGAAAGTTCCATGGTATAGGTGGTGAAGGTGTAACCGAGTAAAGCCTAGGACATGATTCCTTCTATACCTCCCAGAGAAAAACAAGTGTAAAAAATTTTTCTCTTTACCTCTTACCTCCTTCCCCCTTACTTTCTCTTTCTTTTTAAATGGATCTCATCTGTTCAAAGCATGTTTAAAATGTGACTGCAAGCTGTCATCTGTCATGTCAGACTATTATCTATGTCTCCTTAGGAACTGGTATCTCTAACAATAATACCCTCCAGGAAAACCTACAACAGCTACTGTTAATGACTACAGTAAAATGAAAAATGGGAAAGGAAAAAAGTAAGACAATAGCTATTAAAACAGGTCCTCACCTGTAGCAATTATCTATTTCTAGAAAAACTCAAACTAGGCAGTAAAGATTCTGCATTAGGGATTAAAATATACTTAAAATGCATTCAAACATTATTCTTAGAAATAAAAGTTGCTTTATTCATTCTGGAGATAATTTTGCCTATATGAACTTATCCTACTGATATGCCTATAAAAGTACACTAAGATATATGTAAAACAATCATTGCTATAAAATTGTCCATGGCAAAAAGTTGGGAAAAAATTTTAAAGTCCATCATTTGACTAGTTAGACATGAAATACCATTCTTCCATGCAATGGAATACTATTAACTGACTAAAAAGATGAGACATCTGTGCTGATTGAGATAAAAATGTTAAAAAAAACATACATACACAACACACACACATATGGAGTAAGAAGAAGAGGGTAGAGAGAGTAAATTGGGCTGGAATGTATAGAGAAAAAATTTTCCACAAAAGGATACAGAAGAATCTATTAACAACAGTTTCCCCTAGAGAATGGGCTGGGGAGAAAAAAATTTCTGTGCTGTTGGAATTTTCTAACCACTATTTTTTATAAAGAAAGTCAGTGTAGATTATCTTGTGGAATTACTAGCCATTTTCATTTTATCCTCTTTAAGATTTTTTTAAGAAAACCCAGTACTACTTTCCACTAATTATTTTTAAATAAGTTTATAACTTTGAAAAATAACCTAGTTTTCATTTTAGGTGCATATGTAATTGTTTTATTTAAGATAGAAAATGTAATACTAGACACACACACATACACAATATGATCAGGATAAATTTTTAAAAAATCAAACAACTTTATACCTTCACCCTTATGATTTAATCATGTTGCAAATAGTTCAAACAAATAGTCAACGCTTCAGATTTGTTCAAATGTTTCTCTTCTGTATTCTTCTAGAACAAAGTGAGAAATATACCATATACCAGAAAACTGTAATTCAGGACAGAGTAAAAGACCAACTAACTAGAATATTGCCATTATTAAAAATATAAATAAGGCAGTTTTTTAAACACTAAGTCATCATTATTTTATTCCAACCAATCAAAAGCGTATTTTCAATGACTATAACTGTCTGAACTAATTTTTCCCCTTAAAAGCATTCCACCATCATTTCAAGTGTTACCACCTACTTAGGAGGTACTAAATCAGATTCTCATAGCAATGGGGATGGGAAGAGACACCAGGAAGGAGGTAGCAGCCCTACTCCATGATGGAAAACGTAAAGGAACTGTGCCAAGAGCACACCATCTCTCTTCTTCCATACAAAATTACTTAAGCTTTTCTGTTACCCTGAGGAATTATGGAGCATAAAAAAAGTTAAGAAAGTCTGGAAGTTAAAATCATCAAATTTACTACAGTATCAAGAATTTAGAGAATGAGTTGTTATTAAGGACTAGGAATTCAGAAGCCTAGGTTTCAGTTTTAATTGTGCCACTAGGTTAACTTCAATGACCTAGGGAAAACTGCATAAACTCTCTGTTAAGTTTCATTTTCTCTAAGATAAAAAGATTTAGATTTCTTCTAGTTCAATTTCCTTTGAGATCTAAATTCTTCACTTTTATTACGTATTGCTCGAAAAGACAACACTACTAAGGAGTACTTAGCTAAATGGATGGGATATGTTTAACAGACTCT